AGTTCTGGGCTGATTCTTCACCTTTCTTATGATCAGTGATTCCCCACAAGGTGAGATCTTGCATGGAGCCCCAGTCTGAGAGAGACTGACAGTCGTCTTTAGCCTCTTCCATTTTCTAACAATTGCTCCAACAGTTGATCTATTTTCACCAAGCTGCTTGGCAATTGCCCCGTAGCCCTTTCCAGCCTTGTGGAGGTCCACAGTTTTGTCTCTGGTGTCTTTTGACAGCTCTTTAGGTGTTGCCCATGGTAGTAGTTGGCATCTGACTGACTGTGGGGTGGACAGGTGTCTTTAAAGAGCTCAGACAGGTGCTACTAAGTTAGATTAATGAGTGGAGTAGAGGTGGACTTTTTAAAGGCACAGTAACAGGTCTTTGAGAGCCAGAATTCTTGCTGTTTCTTAGGTGTTCAAATACTTATGTTCAGCAGTGCAAGACAAATAAATTCTTTTAAAATCATACAATGTGATTTCCTGAATTTTTTTTTTTAAAATTCTGTCTCTCAGAGTGGGAATGCACCTACAATGTGAATTTCAGACCCCTCCATGATTTCTAAGTGGGAGAACTTGCAAAATCGCAGGGTGTTCAGATACTTCTATTCCTCACTGTACATGTGTCTCCTCTATGCTGACACCCATGCAATTATGTGACCGGACCAAAGTGCCCCTAGACTAGGTTAGTATATACATCTTTTCTTAACAGGGTGATTGAAATAGGCTTAGAATTGGATTGGGAGTAGATTTAAAGCGAGCATGGGGCAGGGCCGAAGTGAGCTGTGTGTCTGAATAGACGCAAGCAGCCTGGCTCAGGAGCGAGTCCGCACGTTTCCCCATGGGAAGCGGCTTCCTATGGGGGCACTCAGCGGGGGGGGGGGGGGGTAGCCAGGAGTACCGCCGGGGGACCTGAGAAGAGGTGGATCAAGGCCACTGTGTGCAAAACCATTGCTTAGGGCAGGTAAGTATAACATGTTTGTTTATTTTTTAAAAAAATAACCTTTTATATCACTTTAAAGGATAAGTTCACCTTTTAGACAAAAATAATAAATGTAAAATTTTTTTGCAGGTAAAAAAAAATGTGCATTTATTATTTTTGTCTGCAGAAGCCTGGAAAGCATTTCACTAGCGATCAGTAAATCGCTGATGCCATGCAGCTTTCCTGAAGACCCGTCAGAATATCTGCTTGCCGTACGGGATGTATGGTCTGTACGGTCAAGCAGATATTCTGACAGGAAGAATGAATGAACTACCACAGCACTTCACAGCGCCGTGGTGGGTTCATAGAGGACTACAAGCTGACAGTTGCTAAGGCGGTTGGGACTTTAGTCTCTCATTCACAGATGACTGTGACTGAGTGACACGGTCTTGTGGGCGGAACTCCGCATGGCCACAGGTTTTTTTTTTTTTTTTTTTATTGATTTTCACATGTATATACATACATCACATTTGAAAGAGAAACAAGAGAAAGAAGCACATCAATGGTAGAAATCTGCAAGGATACAAAACATATGTCGTCACAAAAAAAAACAGTGGAGAAGCAGTTAAATTCGTACATTTTGGGCAGGTTGAGAAAAAAAATAAAGACATCCCCATAGGTTCCATACTGCCTCAAACACCGCAATCGAACAAGCATGTTAAGCGGTCAAATATTCCATCTGTCTTACATCAGCAATAATTTTAAACAAAGTCAACATCGAAGGAGGAATGGAGGATAGCCAACACATAGGAATGCTCCTTCTGGCCGCAGTCAGAACATGCGCGGAGAGTTTCATGGACGATTTGGATTTGGAGAGGCCCGGAAATGGCAGGCTCAATAAAAAGTATAGAGGCTCGAAAGGAGAGAGAGGCGTGCAATAGCAATTGTAATAAGGACAAAACCTCTTCCCAAAAAGGAGTAATGGACCCACATGCCCAACAAATATGGTAGAGAGAGCCAAAGTCCTTCCCACAGCGCCAGCAGACAGAAGCATTTGGGTTACAGGCAGGGAGTACTTCAGGCGTTTTGTACCACAACATCATAATTTTGTATGTATTTTCCTTATAAACCATGCAAACAAAAGGATCAAGGTGCGTTTTTTCCCATTTTTTTTTTTTTCCCCACAGTGTCAGATCAATGTCACATTGTAAAAACTGGGACCACTTGTGCATGTAATGATGAGTGTCATTCGATAAGGGGGGAGGCGTCCATAAGGAGTCTATATGTATTAGAGATGATACCCCTTTGATGTGGGCCCTGTATACATAAACGTTCAAAGGGAGTGGGCTTCCCAAGGGTCAATGAGGGTGATATGGTAGAGAAAAAGTGGCGTATCTGAAGATAAACCACGTTTTTTTTTTTTTTTTTTTTTTAAATTTGAAAGCTAGAGAGGGGGGAGAAAAAAATCCCCCGCTAGCTGTCAAAGTGGGGATTGGGGGGGAACTGGGGCTGGTCTGAAGGTAACATGTTACACCCTGAAAATGGGTGTAACATGTTACGAAAGATGAACTTCTCCTTTAAGCCTAGCTAGCTTTTGACCAGACTTCTACTTTAAAAAAGACAGGATGAGTAATTAGGTTATACTGCTGCCTTCGGGAGACAGGACACTGACAAACAAAGCTGTAAGGATATAACCCAACCACTCCCATCATGCTTCATTTTTTTTTCTGTTCGAGTGTCAGGAAAATCTTTCCTCCTACTGGTCTGGAAGATTTTCATGTTGGATACCAACTTGCTGGGCTGAGGAGGAATCCTGGACACTGTCTCGTGCAAGCAGTATTCTAAAACCTAGGGTGATTTGGCTATTCCTTCAATGCCGGACCTCTTGACCACAAGGTCACCCACCCTGGATTTTGTTGGATTATGGTAATGGTTTATATCAACCATCAGGAAGAAAAAAAAAAAGTCTTGCAGCCCCGTCTGCTGTGCATGACTCAGATGTGGAAAATTGGCAGCTGGAATTCCTCAGCTGTCAATTTCTGGTCTCAGCCCAGGGTGTTTCAAGACCTCTGTTTTAGGTGGGTAATGCCAGCCGTGAACATTTTGGCCTCCAGTTTGAACCGCAAACTGAGCAAGTTTGTATCCAGGTCCATAGATCCTCTACCCTTTGTAGTGGATACACTGGTGGACTTGGTTGATTCAGTTCAACTTGCTCTTTTCTGAAACTCCTTCCTCACTTTTTCTGCATGATTCAGACAGTGGGCATTCCAGTAATCCTCATTTATCCAAACTGGTCACAGCCGAACGTAGCTTAATTAGACTCCTGTTCCATGGGCCCTCTCCATTCATCTGGATTTTCTGTCCCAAGGACCAGTTTACCACCCTGCTTCTCGGGCTTGCTTTAGCATCCTGGCCCAGGCCCTGAAGTATAGGAGGCTACCTGACTTGGCTATCCCTAAGCTCTTGAAAGCTTGGAATTGGATGGTGAATTCTACCATTGCACTTGAAAAGCATATTTCCCTTGATGCAAGGCAAGGAAATGTCATCCCAATAAATAATAAATGGAGCAAATCCTGTTTTTCCAGTCTGGATCAAAATGTTTGGCCTGAGTACCATCAAGGGTAAAATCATAGCCTTAGTATTTTTTTTTTTATTCAAAGACCACTTGCATCTCACTCATTCCCCTTGTTACTCTCCCTCACAAGTTTACTTTCATTGTTGCTGCCATAGTATCTGAGTTGATGGACTTAACCTGTTAAAAAATAAACAAAGTACAAAGTCGAAGTTGCCTTGAAGCCTAACCCCTCTTATCTTCCCACAGTGATTTCTTCCTTTTATCTTGTAATTACATGATGCATTTTTCTGCACAGAAAAAAAAAAACACACATAACACCAGCATTGTGGTACGAATTGTTTTCTTTGTGCACTTACATAGATCTGCATTTAACAGGTGGGAACAAGCCCTATTGACTTTTATAATCCACTGATAATAGGATAACCTTTTTTGGTAATGGCAAGTCTATAAATTGAGTGACTTGTTTACTTGATGGTAAAGCATCTCACAGACTTGGAGCCAGAACACTGATCTTCAGGTAGTAGTACTTGGCCCTTATCAGCACAGGACTGTTGGTTCTAGTCAGCATAAGATATAAATTAGCATAGCAGTGATGTCACTAAACGTCCAGAGAATTGAGAACACCCACACAAAAAATGCTGAAATGGACAGATTTGCCTTGAATGAATAATTGTGTAAATGTTAATATTCCACTGTTGCTGGTACTAGGTTATGGAAATAACTCAAAATGTTCACGTAATAAGCAAAGCAAATGATCTTTTATTTTCTGTTTTGGTACAGGCAATTTTGACAGATCATTAATGCAAAATAACTGTGCGTCATTACTATGCTGATAGCAGTTTCTTGTCACCTATATTGAGACTTCAATCTTTACTCCCTACATGCTGCTACAGATGTTTTTTTTTTTTTTTCAATAAATGACATAGCTCGGTAACCTGGGGCTTGGGGACCCACCTACGGTCCTAGGAATAATGTGTTGGTGTTCCTATGTTATCAGTTGGGGTTCGGCTTTTAGCCTGGGTTTACACTTTTGCGGTGCAACGTATCACATGTGATTTGCACTGGAACCACACCGCATTCCTGTGCAAATCACATGCGAATTCTATGCGGTGCGATTTGAGCCATACATTGTGTGTGGCTCAAATCGCATCACATTCGCACCAAAAAGGTGCAGGACCCTTTTTTTTGCTCTGCACTAGAATCGGATCGCATGTGTGTGTTCATACCCATGCAATCCGATTCTGCGCATCGCACCGTGTTTTGCGAACTGATTTCGGGGTGTTGTTAACTTAAAATACACACCCACAATGGTTCATGTGAACAGGATGCAATTATGATGCAATGCCAAAATCACACAGAAACTGGTGCAAATTTCACACCACATCAGTGTGAACCCAGGCTTAATTAGAGACAGAGCAAAGTTGAGCACCCATATAAAAATAAAAGAAAAGGTAACGAACTGCTAAGGGTGTTTTTTTCTTTGTGTTTTTTTTTTTTTTTTTTTCTGTACTATAGGAGTGACACCCCACAGGAGAAAGAGGCTCTGAACAGCAGTGAAACTTTGTGCCAAAACCCAAGTTCTGAAAAAGATCATCAGAGTGCTGATGTCCTTGAGGATCCGAAGAAGTCAGACAGGAATGAGGTATTTTCCTAGTTTTTAGTAGTCTAAGGTCTTAGAGATGGTGAATGAAGTATCCAGTTATATTTTACTTGAGACCGTTTTACTAGTAATATTTTCAACTTCCCCACCATATCTTCCCCAAGTATTATACTTGATTGTCTGCTCTCCAGTAAGCTTCCCTTATGCTTTTACCTTGCTTTCTCATGGGGTTTTTTTTTTTTTTTTTTGCATTCTCACCTCTTCCTGAGGTTGTAGTTCATGTACTAATAGCAAGCATCCTGCCAAGATCCTAGAAACAAAATAACTGGATCTGACCTCAGCTTGTTCATCATTTGGGTGATACTTCTTATTCCTGAGATGAGGCGCATTTGTCTAAATGTATTTTTGAGATTACAGGACTTGTGTGTTCAAAATTTACAAAGAACAAGCCAGAAACATTGTTCAGACAGTTTTATTTTTGTATGTGTTTTAGCTTCGGGATTCCACAGACCAGTTTGAAGAATATTATCGGCAGAAATTACGTTACCAGCAGCACCTGGAGCAAAAGGAGCAACAAAGACAGCTCTACCAGCAAATGCTTTTTGAAGGGGGAGTGAACCAAGCAGAAGAGGTAGAGCATCCACAGAATCTCACAGAGCAATTTCTTAATAGGTAATTATATGATAAAGATGCTCCAAACACAAATATTTAGAAAAGGCATGCTTTTCATTCTATAGGTTCTTAGACATTTGTTCCTGCATTTGAGCATGTATTCATTATAAGATAAAAACGTACAAAAAACATTTCAATCTGCTAGCCTGTTTCTGTGAAGTTTTGTCTAGATTAATATTATACGGTAATGCAGGATTCAAATTGGGTGCAGTCACCATGTTTTAGCAGGCAGAGAGCTGTGTTTGGGCATAACTACATACAGTTTTTAGCTATACTGTTAGGTGGTATAACTTAAAGGCTTTGTTTGTAGTACATGAATTTAAAATGTCTGTACAACACCATAATCTTGTTTCATACAAGACATGTTTGTTTTATACCATTCCAAAGTAGAACTGAATACATAGTGTGGCATATAATATTTTTTCAGAAGCCTCAGATTTTTAGAAAATTTGTGCATCTCTAGACCATGAAATAATTTTGTCTTTTTTGTATTCCTTTTAAGATCAATCAAGAAGTTAGGGGAGTTGAATGTGGGGATGGAACCTCTAAGTGAGGATATTCAGCCAAAGAATAGACAGCACAACGGTCCCAGAGAAGACAGCTCTTCAGCCACCAATGGACACACACCTCCAGTATCGACTTCATTGCTTAGAAATCCACAACCTGATGGACAGAGTATCAGCACCAGTACTCCTCGCAAGCGAGGTGCCACTAACCACATCCCATTCCCAGAGGAATCACCTGTGTATGGAACTGCTGGGTCAGTGAAATAATGAGTCTGTTTCCAGATTTGAACTCATGTACACAACTGTAGAAAGTAATTCTTTTCATTTTAAAATAGTATCGCCAATCTAAAAAATTGAAAATGCACAAAAAAATTCAAGTATTTTAAATGCTTTCTTGTAGTTCTTTTCTTTCCATAAATTATTTTTATTCATTTGCAGTGTGCCTTTAAACTTCCTAAAATATGCGTCTGTTTCAGGAAGAGCCAGTTTCACAGCACAGTCTCCTTTCTCCTTGCATGTCATAGTCCTCTCCTTTTCTGGAAGTGTGCTTACCCAGCTTTTCCCCCTCACCTCCTACATAACCTTTTATGTAGTTGCCAGGTAAGGAGTGAAGGAGAATACTATAGCATGTCATTTTAGTGACCCCTCTGAATCTGCTAGGGCTGCTGACATTCTATCCAAGATGGCAGTGCCCAGAGGGGAGTCTCTGGCATTTTGAATGTCTACAAAGGGGGCAATTTTACAGGTAAATAACATACATAAAGTACATGTACAAGATTTTTGTTAAAATGAATGGCAAGTTTTTAAAAGCATAAATGTGAAAAGCGCCGCGCCAAAGATATAATAAATAATTATCCAGCTGCAGTCACTATACTCACGGTAGAGTGTGCAGAGAAACAAATATGTGTATGACCACGCTCAAAATAACAAGTGATTAAACTATTATTATTATTATTACAGGTACTTGTATAGCTCCATCACATCACTCCCTACCCTCGAGGGGCTTACAATCTCAGGTTCCTAACTCGCATGCATACATACACTTACTGCGGCCAATATAGACAGGAGGCAGTTAACCTACCAGCATGTCTTTGGGGTGTGGTAGGAAACCCACACAGGCACAGAGAGAACATGCAAACTCCAGGTAGGTAGTGCCTTGGTTGGGATTCAAAGCGATGACAGGGGGAAGTGCTAACCACTTAGCCACTGTACCTAAAATAAGAAAAAAAATGTTGAAATAATACTATATAAAATGTATCAACAAAATATTCACATATTTCTAAATCCAAATAAACAAAAACAAAGTCCTTTATGTCCATCATCAAGTGCAATATGTTTTGGGCACAACACATGGCAATGTGAGTGTACTTATGATGGTTTTTATTAATAAATAATAATTGTTTTACACTATGAAGCCTTCCTTTTTGTTTTTTGACATGTTGGCAAATGGTCTGGAACTGTGAGAGCCTTGCAAGCCCATTGATAAGAGGGTGGATTCATTAACCCATTGTTGACTGTTAAAGATTGCATAGTGCTCCAACAAGATTGGAAGCTTGGTATCAAACATTGTGTGATACCTTGTAGCTCCTTTCCTCCTGGCCTATTGTAATATAATGGCTGAGCAGGAACCCTATTATCCTGGGCAGGACGTCATATGACACCCTCCCAGGATTGCATCTCGCGCGTCCTCATGGACCGCGCTCCGGAGCGATCTGTCACTGGCTGTGTCCACGGGACATGGCCGATGGCAGATCAGTACACCGTCCCGCTGCCAGTGTCATGTGATCGCTTTGACTAATCACAGCAGATCTCATCACAGTTGTAAACAATGGCTTTCTTTCATGCCATTCATTCCTTTTAACTGTGCTGCGAGCTATGATTGGTCACAGTGATTACATGTACAGACTAGGCCAGTCACTACCCATCTGTAGCATGTGATCAGCTATGGCCAATCACAGCTGATCACAACAAAAACTGCTGAATGGTATAAGCAAGCATTTTTACTGAATTAAACTAATTCAATTAAATTAGTTGGTATAAGCAAAAAAAAAAAATCCTGATCGCCTGTCCAGTGTAGTACAATGTTACTATGGTAACATTGTATTGCTCTGGTCACAGTAGTAGAAAAAAAAAAAATCTAATTTTTTTAAAAATTAATTAAAAAAAAAAAAAACAAACTTATAAAAAAAACCATAAATATATATATATATATATATTTATTTTTTTTTTTTAATTTTTTTTATATTATTACATACTGTCACCATCAGTGTCCATGATCACTGCCACACCAGTTATATGATGATGCTGTACTGCATTGGTGACAGTATGTTAAAAAAAAAAAAAAATATATGTGTAGTTTTTTTTCAATAGCCACAAAATTATGATAAAAAAAAAAACTTAAAAAAAACTTGCCCTACCCCTTACAAAATATCTCAGACTGTCTCCTTTCAAAAAAGCATTAATTTTGGGGGTATTTGTACTGTCTTGGTGTTTTTGGGCCTCAAGAAATGAGATCAGCCGTCAGTACATCAGGAGTTATCAATTTTTAGATATTTACCATAGTTTGTGGACTCTAAAACTTTCCTACCAACTAAATAATTAACACTGATTTTGGTTATTTTCACCAAAGACCTGTAGTAAAATACATTTTGGCCTAAATGTGTGTAGAAGGATTATTTATTTGCAAAATGTTAAACACAAAGTAAAAAAACACATTTTTTTTTTCAAAAGAATAGCACAAAACATAAAAAACACAGTGGTGATTAAATACCGCCAAAAGAAATCTCTATTTGTGTGCGGAAAAAAAATGCTAAAAATTTCATATGGGTACAGGGTTGCATGACCACGCAATTGTCATTTAAAGTGCAGCAGCACTGAAAGGTGAAAATTGGCCTGGGCAGGAAGGGGGTAAAAGTGTCCAGTAGGCAAGTGGTGGGCCATTTACCTGAAGAGGTGAAGGACACTGGGTGCTTTGACAGCACTCTTTTTAAAGGATAAGTTCACCTACTTTTTTTTTTTTTTCTTTTTCTAAATTCCAGCTCTCCTATGTACCAATATAGCATTAATGTACTTCTTTTGCAGAAATTCAAAAGCTTTCCATCTCTTTCTACAATACCTTTATCACACTGTCCAGATGGCTGTATGAAAAAAGCTTTTCCATTACTTCTGCCTTACTTCCTGCAGAGACTTTAGGTCATGACACAGGAAGGAATTGACCAGCTGACCTCATTAGCACACACCCTGCATCATTTACCATTATACCTACCACCCACTTCCAGGTGCACAACTATTAAATGAAATGCAATCAATCAGGTATCATTGTTCTTACTTAATACACAGACATCGATTTTCATCTTGCAGAGATCCTTCATTTTGGCAGTGTGTGCTGAGAGATCAGATAACAGCCTATGTGGATAGAACTGTAGTATTGAAAACAGGAGAATTGTGTTCTGGTTTCTGTAAAATTCACCATACACCTTACAATCTGATTGCACAAGCTACTTTAGATATACCATCAACAATGTAGTGCAAGGGCCTGCAGGATTGGATACAGAGTGAATGGGTAGATAAGTGTGTCCTCCTATTCCATAGTTCTGGAAAATCTAAAGGAAATTGTACAGAGATTGCACAATCAGGCTGCATAGTGTATGGTCATCTTTATACAAGTACATAGGAGGGAGTGGACGGAGATCCTCAGCTGTCAAGACCCATTCACATCTCTGCGTGGCAGGAACTCACATTTCCGCATGCTTTTTTTTTTTTGGGTGGGGGGCATTTTGGAGCATTTTCACTTGTCATGCATAGGACAGCTCTTCCACTTAAATGGGCAGCCCTACACGCAACAATCGCCCCAAAGAAGCTCCAGAACTTTCAGGCCCCATTTACAACTAGTATAGTGGGAGCATTTTTGGCTTGTTTTACCCATGACACGCATAGGGAAGCCTGTTGATCTTAATAGCTACGCTAAATGTGGCTTATGGGACATTTTGGCGTGATGTGTGTTGTGTTTTTTTTTTATTGTGCATGGTTCACATTGAACAATGCATGCTTGTTTCTTTGTTTGATGTGCCATTAACAATTAATGGCACCGAAAGTGCAACTAGGTAATTTTAGGTGTATAAAGGTGACCATACACTATACAATCTTATTCTACAATCTCTGTACAATCTCCTTTAGATTTATTAAAACTATATAATAGGAGGAGACACCATCTATCCAATCAGGCAGACCCTTGCACTACGTAGTTGATGGTAGATCTAATGGAGATTGTAAAATTAGATTGTATAGTGTATTTTGAGCTTTACTGAACACAATTCTCCTGTTTTTCAATACTACAGCTTTATCCACATGGGCTGTTATCTGATTGCTCAGCACATACTACCAAAATGAAGGATCTATGCAAGATGAAAGTTAAGGTAGAAAAAAAATTGAAGCTTGTGTATTTAGTGAGAACCGTGATCACGGATTGATTGCATTTCATCTAATAGTTGTGCACCTGGAAGTGGGTGGTAGGTATAAGGGTAGATGATGCAGGGTGTGTGCTAATGAGGTCAGCTGGTCAACTCCTTCCTGCGTCATGGCCTAAATTCTCTGCAGGAAATAGGGCAGAAGTAATGGAGAAGCTTTTTTTTACATCCATCTGGACACTTGACATAAAGGTGGGTAGCAAAAATGGAAAGCTTTTGAATTTCTGCATAAGAAGTAACTTAGGGTATATTGGGACATAGAGGAGCTTGAATTTAGAAAAAAAAAAAGGGCGAACAAAGGTGAACTTATCCTTTAAAGTATAAATAAAAGCAAAACTTTTTTTTCTTAGTTTTGAATGGAGTGGAGAGGGATTAGAACACTTGTCAGTTTTTATTGCTGTCTGTGCTCCCGTTAGGAAGATTCACCCTCCCTGTTTGTCCTGTTTACCATTATTATTGAAAGTGAAAGTAAAAAAATCCCAAATTTCGGGGTTGTCCCCGGAAGAGTAATAGAGGGGAAATTTTCCAATGAGGATACTAGTTCTGGTGACCTGGGGGTCCCCAAGGAATTCCCTTAATTTGCAGGGATTTCCTCTCACTGCCTGTTTAGCTATGAGACAGGCAGTGAAGGTAAATCTCCGCAATGGGACACAGATGACGAAAAAAAATCTGACAGAGGTTATAACCCTTCCTTGCTCTATCCAAAATAAAAAAAAAAAAAAAACGTTTTGCCTATAGTTCTACTTTAAGCAAAGAGAATTTTTGAACAAATGTATTTAATTGTATTTATTTTATTTTATTTTTGCACATATTGCACTTGATGGTGGACGTTAAGGACTTTTTTTGTTTGTTTAGATTTAGGAATAATTGGTATGGACATATTTTGTGAACTGAGCAGCACAATATTTTGAAAGTGAATATTTTGTTGATACATTTTATATAATATTCTTTTAAAAAAAGTTTTCCTTGTTTTAGGTAGTTTAACACTTGATATTTTGAACACGGTCCTACACATATACGTTTTTGATAACATTGACCCAACAGTGATATCCAGGGGTTAGAGAGATAACTGTGTACTACCCTTCTAATGATTTTTTTTTCCATTCTAATTTGATCAGCCCTTGCCATTTTCCTTACTAGAGGTAAAAAAAAGACTTGACTCAAGATCAGCACACACATTACATTCTGATTGTACAATCTCCTTTAGAGCTACGAACAACTACATACTACAAGATAGTTTAGACCGGTCCTCATATTGCATCATTTTTGGTAAACATATAGTTGATTATATGGTCTGATTGTAGTGTAGTTGTTGACCCTAAAAAGTCCTCTGTTTTCATGTTCGTCTAATGGTTACAGTTTGGCTTATACTGAACTAGACAGCATGGTCCACAGTATATTCCAAGATATGGAAACATTTAGGGCATAAGTAGAAACCTTGAATATTATGCAGTGAGATCTTTTTTTCCATAGGTCTCAGGAAAAAAATTAAATATGCATTTATTTTTCTTTGGAGACTACCCATTATATTAACTTTTGACTGATTTACTTTGTAGCACAAGTGAGCAGGGACAATTTGAAGAACCTGAAAGTGCTGGATCGAGGAAAACTTCAGAGGTAACAGCATATTCCATTTCAAAATCTCTTTGGAATTAAGAGACTTGAGTGTCCCTTTACCTTAAACTGTCCAAAGATGGATCAAAATTCAGCTGGTTCAGCAGGAACTGGACAAATTTCGATCCATGTGCGGGCACTGTGGTTGTACAAAAGTCAATCTACCAGTCTACTTCGGTAAAACTGTCTTGTTGGAAAATTTCCTCTTGATCAGCACTGCAGGCTATAGACTGCAATGCTGAGCTGTGTATTTTGACAGTGGGAAAGTCTCTCTGCTGTCAGAATACAATGACACAGCAGGAGGATTCCCTAATCCACCTCAAATGTGTGGATAGAGGAATCGGGTCAGTTGTTCAGCTCGCTGGTTGAAGGAAAAAAAAGTGACCCGCCTATTGCCAGCTTTAATGTGCTTGTAAGTAAATTAGAAACTGCTTTTTTTTATTATTGTAATGAGGCTGTCATTGCTTTTAGGGGTACAAGCTCCTTAGCTGTCAGCCTTTTCCTTATTCTTGTTTGACGTCACTGCCATGTTAAGAGTATGCTGGAGTGGTGCCCTGAGTCTCCTGATATGGCTGCAAGCTTGCTCCATGTTAAAGAAATACTAAGTATCGAAGTAAGGATGACAAATTCAGGGTTTACAGTGTTCAAAAGTTTGGTATCGAGATCCCTGAATTTTCCACTTCTTAAGTGATTGAACAGTGTTGACTGGCATATTAAAGGCTTTGGATATCTTTTTATATAATTTTCCATATCTATAAAGTTTTGTTACCTTGTTACATAGGTCTTTTGACAGTTCTTTTCTGCTCCCTATGGCTCTATCTAGCCTGCTCAATGCATCCACGTGAGCACTAACAAACTCATTGACTGTATATACACAGACACTAATTGGACTTTAAAAAGTCACAGATGTGGGAAATGATCATTTTAATTGTCATTTTAGCAGTGTGTGTCATCTTATATGTCTGTACCATGGCTAAACATTCCAGGGTATGTAAACTTTTGATCATGGCCATTTGGGTGATTTCTGTTTTCATTATGATTATGATCAGTCATATTTTAAATATCAATGCCAAAATTTCACAATTTCTTCCATATGCAAACTTTTGAGCACAACTGTACACCTTGCAGCAAGCATTACCAACTTCTATATTTCGAATCAATTAGTGTTAAAGATAAAGGGTGGTGACCGCAAAGGAAAGTATGGACCAGATCCAGTTTTGTTTCATGAATTGTTCCCTCACCCAAAGTACTGCATTGTACTGTTTTTAGCAATAGACCGTAGCAGAAAAATGAGAATCTGCACTGTTTTGGTGCACGTTTGGAAAATCCTTAATTCTCTTAATCACTTCAGTACCAAAAATACAAAAACGCCTATATTTAAGTTTTTATATATATATATATATATATATATATATATATATATATATATATATATATATATATATATATATATACAGTCAGGTCCATAAATATTGGGACATCGACACAATTCTAACATTTTTGGCTCTATACACCACCACAATAGATTTGAAATGAAACAAACAAGATGTGCTTTAACTGCAGACTGTCCGCTTTAATTTGAGGGTATTTACATCCAAATCAGGTGAACGGTGTAGGAATTACAACAGTTTGCATATGTGCCTCCCACTTTTTAAGGGACCAAAAGTAATGGGACAATTGGCTTCTCATCTGTTCCATGGCCAGGTGTGTGTTATTCCCTCATTATCCCAATTACAATGAGCAGATAAAAGGTCCAGAGTTCATTTCAAGTGTGCTGTTTGCATTTGGAATCTGTTGCTGTCAACTCTCAAGATGAGATCCAAAGAGCTGTCACTATCAGTGAAGCAAGCCATCATTAGGCTGAAAAAACAAAACAAACCCATCCGAGAGATAGAAAAAACATTAGGCGTGGCCAAAACAACTGTTTGGAACATTCTTAACCTCCTTAGCTGTTTTCCCGAGTGTAGCTCGGGGTAGAATTTCTATACCACAAGCGGTAACCCCAAGCTACACTCGGGCTTACCATGCGGCGCTGCTCTGGGGGTCCCTGCAGCACTTACCTTGTCCTTCGTTCCCACGATGTGTCCCCTGCAGCGTCCCCGGCCATCTGCTCCGGCCGATGCCGGCATCCGGCTTCTGTGTTCCGGTCCCCGTGACGACGAAATTTAAAAATGTCTTTTTTTTTTTTTTCAATTTTAAATAGTAAAACATTGCTGTTTCATCCCATTTCACATACATATTGTCCCTAGTGCTTTGTCCTGTGCCCTGCCTGCATTTTGTCTGTTCTTTCTGCCTGGAAACTTAGAAAAGTCCATGGCGTCCAAAAAGCGTCCCTTTACGTCAAAAGCGGTTTTAGACCGGCTAGAGAACAGCGATAGTAAATCAGAACCACTTACAGAATTGAGTGATAATGATTTGTGGGGAAATTTTCCTAAAAATTACAGCCTACAATAAAAAACTATTTCCATGCAAAAAAAATGGTACCACTTTCAGCACAAAAAAATCGGAAGGAATCATACCGCCAAGGAGGTTAAAAAGAAGGAACGCACCGGGGAGCTCAGCAACACCAAAAGACCCAGAAGACCACGGAAAACAACTGTGGTGGATAACCGAAGAATTCTTTCCCTGGTGAAGAAAACACCCTTCACAACAGTTGGCCAGATCAGGAACACTCTCCAGGAGGTAGGTGTATGTGTGTCAAAGTCAACAATCAAGAGAAGACTTCACCAGAGTGAATACAGAGGGTTCACCACAAGATGTAAACCATTGGTGAGCCTCAAAAACAGGAAGGCTAGATTAGAGTTTGCCAAACGACATCTAAAAAAGCCTTCACAGTTCTGGAACAACATCCTATGGACAGATGAGACCGAGATCAACTTGTACCAGAGTGATGCGAAGAGAAGAGTATGGAAAAGGAAAGTTACTGCTCATGATCCTAAGCATACCACCTCATCAGTGAAGCATGGTGGTGGTAGTGTCATGGCGTGGGCATGTATGGCTGCCAATGGAACTGGTTCTCCTGTATTTATTGATGATGTGACTGCTGACAAAAGCAGCCGGATGAATTGTGAAGTGTTTCGGGCAATATTATCTGCTCATATTCAGCCAAATGCTTCACAACTCATTGGACGCCGCTTCACAGTGCAGATGGACAATGACCCAAAGCATACTGCAAAAGCAACCAAAGAGTTTTTTAAGGGAAAGAAGTGGAATGTTATGCAATGGCCAAGTCAATCACCTGACCTGAATCCGATTGAGCATGCATTTCACTTGCTGAAGACAAAACTGAAGGGAAAATGTCCCAAGAACAAGCAGGAACTGAAGACAGTTGCAGTAGAGGCCTGGCAGAGCATCACCAGGGATGAAACCCAGCGTCTGGTGATGTCTATGCGTTCCAGACTTCAGGCTGTCATTGACTGCAAAGGATTTGCAACCAAGTATTAAAAAGTGAAAGTTTGATTTATGATTATTATTCTGTCCCATTACTTTTGGTCCCTTAAAAAGTGGGAGGCACATATGCAAACTGTTGTAATTCCTACACCGTTCACCTGATTTGGATGTAAAATACCCTCAAATTAAAGCTGACAGTCTTCAGTTAAAGCACATCTTGTTCGTTTCATTTCAAATCCATTGTGGTGATGTATAGAGCCAAAAATGTTAGAATTGTGTCCATGTCCCAATATTTATGGACCTGACTGTATATACACATACACACACACACAGTGAAGAACAGACGTATTTGAACACCCTGCGATTTTGCAAGTTCTCCCACTTAGAAATCATGGAGGGGTCTGAAATTCACATTGTAGGTGCATTCCCACTCTGAGAGACAGAATTAAAAAAAAAATTCAGGAAATCACATTGTATGATTTTTAAAGAATTTATTTGTATTGCACTGCTGAACATAAGTATTTGAACACCTAAGAAACAGCAAAAATTCTGGCTCTCAAAGACCTGTTACTGTGCCTTTAAAAAGTCCACCTCTACTCCACTCATTAATCTAACTTAGTAGCACCTGTCTGAACTCTTTAAAGACACCTGTCCACCCCCACAGTCAGTCAGACGCCAACTACTACCATGGGCAAGACCAAAGAGCTGTCAAAAGACACCAGAGACAAAATTGTGGACCTCAACAAGGCTGGAAAGGGCTACGGGGCAATTGCCAAGCAGCTTGGTGAAAATAGATCAACTGTTGGAGCAATTGTTAGAAAATGGAAGCGGCTAAAGACGACTGTCAGTCTCCCTCGGACTGGGCTCCATGCAAGATCTCACCTCGTGGGGTATCACTGATGATAAGAAAGGTGAGGAATCAGCCCAGAACTACATGGGAGGAGCTGGTAAATGACATAAAGAGAGCTGGGACCACAGTTTCAAAGGTCACTATCGGTAGAACACTCCGCCGTCATGGTTTCAAATCATGCATTGCACGGAAGGTTCCCCTGCTCAAGTCATCACATGTCCAAGCCCGTCTGAAGTTTGCAATGACCATCTGGATGATCCAGAGTAGGCATGGGAGAAAGTCATGTGGTCAGATAAGACCAAAGTAGAACTTTTTGGCCTAAACTTCACCGTCGTGTTTGGAGGAAAAAGGATGAGTTGCATCCCAAGAACACCATCCCTACTGTGAAGCATGGGGGTGGTAACATCATGCTTTGGGGGTGCTTTTCTGCGTAGGGGACAGGACGACTGCACTGTATTAAGGAGAGGATGAATGGAGCCATTTATTGTGAGATTTTGAGCAACAACCTCAATCAGAGCATTGAAGATGGGTCGTGGCTGGGTCTTCCAACATGACAACGACCCGAAGCACATAGCAAGGATAACCAAGGAGTGGCTCCATAAGAAGCATATCAAGGTTCTGGAGTGGCCTAGCCAGTCTCCAGACCTAAATCCAATAGAACATCTTTGGAGGGAGCTGAAACTCTGTGTTGCTCAGTGACAGCCCCGAAACCTGACAGATCTAGAGGAGATCTGTGTGGAGGAGTGGGCCAAAATCCCTGTTGCAATGTGTGCAAACCTGGTCAAGGTTTTGGTCCAGAATTTTCATTTTGGTGCACCACTAAAAATAGTTGTCAACTATTTTCTTAATCGATTAGTTTGGTCAGCCGATTATTTGGCCTGCATACAGAATGCAATATTTGTTTGAATATCAGAAAATACAGTGCAGCACAAATACAGCTCAGGGCACCGTCCATACATGTCGGTATACACAACGCAGCGCACATACAGCTTATTATACTATTCATACATGTCAGTAAGTGCCTGAGAACTAATGTGTGAGGAGCAATACCTCATAGGACATGTAGTCCTGGTCAGGAGAAAGAAGTGAATGATTTTAAAGGCAGAAGTTTTTTTTTGCCTTTCTATAGGGGAACTCTATACTATACTTTTCGGCTTGCTATAGGGGTACTCCAAAGGCGAGAGGAGACAGAAAGTGTCGGTGTAGGAGCCCAGTAGAGGAGAATTGGGGCTGCTCTGTGCAAAACCATTACACAGAGCAGGTAAGCATGACAAGTTTGTAGTTTAAACAAAAAAATTTTAATCACTTAAAGGGCTCTGTGCAGAAAAAATCAGCATCTGAACCCAGAGAAGTTAGAGACTGATATATGTTATATATTATTACTCTCACTGTTTCACAGTATAAATGAACCCCTTATAGTAGTGCTGATCTGCTGTTTTTGTACTATAAAGAGCTAATTTTTGTTTTTTTAACCCCATCATGACCGGCGATTCAAAAAGCATACTGCTGCTACTAAAGGTCTTATGCAGGCCATACACTTATCAATTTTTTGGAGGAGAATATTCGTACAAAAATTCATTGTACATTTGATGAATGGATGAATGTCGTTAGAAAATGTCACTTGCTTTTAACATTCAATCTTAAAATGAATGTAATTTCTGAATAAAAACCCACATATACTGCCCAAAAATTTGTTCGAGAAAAGTTTTTTTATTTTGCGCTATCAAATTTTCCTACCACTGTGGTAGAAAATGTAAAAAATTGAACAAACGTTCTTAAAACATTTTCGTAGGAAAAAATGAATTGCTGTATGTCTATAATAAGTGACGTATGTGTGTGAACCTATAATTGGCCAACTAATCAATTATGAAAATAATTGCTAGTTGCAGCCCTACTGTCAAGCCATTTAAAAGTGAGTCCAGCAAATAAAGTAGCATTTATAGAGTAGTGAAAGGAGCATCATTTGAACTGATGTCTGTCAAAAATTGTGACATACACCAATTCATAGGTGCAATTACAACCACAGCCTTGGGAGGTTATGTTTCAAAGTGTGCAGAGTAAATTTCACAAATATAAATAGCCTCTACACTTTGTATACCAGTGACTGGTTGCAATGCAAATAAGACTCTGTGGATTGAACACATCACGAGTATTACTAAAATAGACCCCTGATGTCCTAAAGAATACCTGTCAGTGTACTTTGAGATGGAGGACATTAATTCAAAAAAATATATAAACACACATGCAGTGAGAATGTATGTAGGTATGTAAATCTCTTATGCTAAACATTCGGTATCCTTATAATTGCTAAGAATATTTTAGGGCCATCATCTAGGTTTAATTTTGATGCGATTTAAGAATGTTTTGATGTATAACATATTTACAGTTTTACAAGGTATCATAGCTTTTTTTTTTTTTTCTTTTTTGCAAGGTTTTTAGGCTAGATATATTTGCTATTTGGGAATTCAACACAGTTTGTCTTTTGTGTGCTTTAATTCCCACCTGCTGCACATTTGTGTCCACGGCAGCCTGAGGCTGTGTGCTTACAGTGCACTCACTGCACACTCCCAGCACACTGACTGAACTGTCACCACCCGCACTTAGTTGTGGCTTCTGAGTGGGAGTCATCAGGAGGGGCTCCTGTTCAGGTGACTGCTACAAGAGCCAATCACAGTGGTCATGTGGTAGGGAAGCCGCGCTACCTCCAGGCATTAAAGCCCACTTGAAGAGCCTGCCGTGATGCAATTGAAGGGGTTTTAAAAAAGAAAAAAAAAGTGGAGTTTTTGTTTTTCAGCTTTCTTTTTATTTCATATAAAGATTTCAGAAACCGTTATTGAAATATTGTGCACTATAAAAATCAAAACTTTTTATATGTCATTTGCTTTCAGAAAATATATTTTTTAAATATGTTTTCAAGTTAATAATATGCATTTTAGCATATCTTTGAAAAATTAAAAAGATTGGCCTGGTACAAAAAGGGTTAAGGAATTTCAAAATGAGGCTTTTTTTCAGGTTTGGTGGCTGCTTCACAGACATGCAAGGAGGATCTGGGAAACCTTAAAGCGGAGTTCCACTCACTCTGTAAAAAAAAAAAAAAAAAAGTCAGCAGCTACAAAAACTGTAGCTGCTCACTTTTAAAAAAAAAACGCCACTCACCTGTCCCACGATCCCTCGTTGGCCCGTTTCACCGGCCATCCTGTATTCCAGGAGGCCAGCATCTTCAGTGTGGGCACTCAGCTGTGACAGCTTGCAGCTTCACAGCCAGGTGCTCACTGCACATGCGCGAGTAGCGCTGAACTTCCTGAATGGCCCTGTCGTCTTCTGGGACCTGTCACGTGTCCCACAAGACTTCGGGGAGGGAGGGTAGAAGGACAACTTCTGTTTCCAATCACCTAGGCGATCGCAGTAGGAGTGGGTACCTGTTAAATTTGGGTACCCGTCCCCCCTCCCCAAAGGTGCCAATCCTTAATGGGGAGCTGGGAACCAATCTTTAAAGCAGAACTTTCCCTTTTGGGTGGAACTCCGCTTTAAGGGCCCATTTGTACTGTTGTGCTGAGGTAACGCTTGCCAGGACGTTACATGCATTGTGTTGCCATTCATTTTGAATAGCACTCCCAGCGCATTAAGGCAGTGGGCATGCATTGCAGTGTGCCACAGTGCACAAAAGCATTATGATGTACAATTTTTGTACATGTCCACTTTCTGGGATTTTTTGCATTGACAGCCTTTTGTTCTGCTAAATATCATTGGACGGGCCTTACTAAACATGCAAATGCTGTTAGAACTCATGTGAGCTGTTACTTTTCTATGCTGTCTTTCTGTGCTGCAATTTTATCAGTTAGATTGTTTCCATCTATCTCTGCTGACTACACCATGTTGTAGAGAAGAGGGAAGGGCACTTGTTTTCTAATCCTAGGATGACAACAGATAAGTAATGTGAGTGAGCATTGTTACCTAAGGACAGGAAGCATGTTACTGACAGGATCATAAAATGGAAATAAAAGTTTGCTTGCTTCGAAGTACTGTGCTGCTGTTTTTAAAGTGCCATTGTATCCTAAAATTAAATGATACCATAACCTAACTTCAGAATTCTATATTCATTTTATAGCCTGATGGTAAACAAAAACAGCAATTTGTCTGTCTCACCACTTTGGAGGACACACAGGCTATTCGGGCAGTAGCTTTCCACCCTAGTGGGTCACTGTATGCTGTTGGATCTAATGCCAAAACCCTGAGAGTCTGTGCATATCCTGATGTCATTGATAGCTGCAGGTAAGATTGAGATGCAGTAAAACACAGTGAACAGTACTGGTTACAAGACCTGTTTTGTTCTTTTACTGAATGTAGTTCTTCTCAGAGCTCACAATTGTTGTCTTTTTTTTTTTTTTTTCCCTTTCAAGTCCCGCGAATGGCCCTGCACAACCAACCATTCGATTTAAGAGAAACAAGCATCACAAAGGATCTATCTATTGTGTTGCATGGAGCCCCTGCGGGCAGCTACTTGCTACAGGTTCTAATGACAAATATGTTAAAGTCCTACCATTTAATGCGGAGACTTGCAATGCAACTGGTAAGGTCATTTGCATTTTAGTAATTATGCCTCAGAAAAATTTGGCTTGTTCAGTAAGTTAATAAATCAAAATGATGCTGCGCTACTCTTAGGAAATATCAAACCAACATGAAAAGTAAAAACCCGGCTGGGACCTCGCATAAGAGTGCTGAAGATAAGTGAAAAATGATAATCTATAAAGAATAATCATGATAAATAAAGAAGCACGAGAAGAGTGAAAAATACAGTGTCAGTAATGAAAGTGATCAAAAGTAAACACCAGGCTGAGCACCTCTTAGAAAATGCAAAAAAACTGAAAAATCAATGTAAATAAATAATCTAAATGTCCAAAATAACATGAAAAGCCAAGTAAAAAATTAAATAATAAAAAATAAAGAAAAAATATATATAAAAAGCAAAATAAACACATGGCTGAGTAACACACAATTCCAACAGTAATCGGGTGTAGGCAATACATAGGGGTAAAGTGGTGATGTGCCCAAAAAAAAACCCACACAAATCTTCAATAATTCCACTAGTGCAAAAACAATACGTTCACAAATAAAGTCTGATGTGCTAGATAATTCTTCAATCTTAAATCCAATAGTGGTCCTCAGCTTATATAAAATACACCGCATGTGCTCCCTCCGGCTAGCATGCACACTCGCCTCCTACTTAGACCTATAGACAATATAAGTCACAAGCACTTTTGGTCAACCAAATACCGCTCTCAGGGATATCTCCTCATGTGGGGTATAGCAAAAACGACTCTTCTCATCATTCCAAACTCATGAAAAATAGAAATTACAAGGGACCTCCCATAGTATAATACGTTCTTATTTCATGAATAAAAGCAGGTAAAAAACTACTCACATAATAAAGGTCTTCAGCAGACCCATACAAAGCATGTATAGCAGGGGTCTCCAAACTATGGCCCAACAGCTGTTGAAGTACTGCAAGTCCCATCATGCCTCTGTCTCTGGGAGTCTTGCCTGTGGCTGTCAGAGTCTTGCAAGGCCTCATGGGACTTACAGTTCCTCAACACATGGAGGGCCATAGTTTGGTGACCCCTGATGTATAGTAATGCAGATAGGGATGGGTGTACCAAGATGGTGGCTGCCGTCCAAAACCTGAAAATTGCATCACCATGCTTCCGCCCGACATGTGTCACGAATCAAGTGACTTCTTAAGGGATAGGATCCTTGCATGCTAGCCGGTGGAGGAAGCACGTGCGGTGTATTGTACATAGGCTGAGGACCACTGGTGGATTTATTTAAGCCTGAAGAATAATCTGGCACATCAGACTTTTTTTTTTTGTGAACTTGCGGTTTCTCTTGTGTTCATTGACAGACACAGCCTCTCTTCATTATTCATGACCAAATGGGGTTTTACAGCCTCAGCGACAGGAGTAGAACACTAGGCAGAAAAAAAAAAAGACTCGGTACCTCCTATGGGCAGTCCCATCTGGGCATAAAACCCCCTCTCTGCTATAGGCCTCCAGTCATTTTCTACTTCGTGTCTTCAGGAGTATGGGCGTACTTTTTTTATGCTGGGACTACTTGTCCCATAGCTTTCTTTTTATTTTTTCCTGGGATTTTTTCTGTTCCTTTTGGAGATCTTCTATCAACAGTCGGGCTGGATAATCTAGATCTAGTGGTCACCCCAGTCTGACCAGCACGTGCGCGCACAGACCGCTAGCGCCATGCTTGGTTGGCCACAACAATGCCCCATCTTAAACTGGAGCGACCAGCAAGTTAAATGTCTCGCGGGATCAACATGTCCAGGTGCCTATAGTCTGTGTCACAGTGTTACCCTAGCCGACAGCCCCACCACTTTAGTGGAGAGGAGGATCTGTCATGGGAGCCTTACCAGCACACTCCAAAGATTTTGTAAGTAGATTCCCCCCTCCTCCTTCCCCGGACACGGTATGGGTTACGGGTACTCCCTGCGGTACTGCTGACTCTCCTCCCATACAGGCCTGGGCTCCTGTACTACCCCCCTCCCCTGCTGTGGTGGTTGGGTGTACTATGGTGGGGTTTTTCTCTGGGGCCACACTGTTGATGGATATTAGGTTGCCCTGCCTGTGCCCCTGTATAGGCGGGCGGTCCTCTGGTCTGGGCCAGGGGGATCAGCCAGGGCCTTGATGTATGCGCTGCATGTGTACTCCTCCCTCCTGCCCTCAGTCAGGTATGCTTAAAAGTGGGCCAGAGAGACACCTGTTGGCCTCGGCACTATCGCCCAGGGAGATGTCTGCCTTTACTACTGACCCCTGTGGGAGGGATGTGTTTGGGGAACCCCCCACCACCCTCCGCCTTCCTAGCTGGGTTGTGGTACGTCACCCTCAGGTCTCCACACCATGCGGTCGGGCTTTCCCCAAAAATATAGCCTGGGGCTTTGTGGCCTACATGGTTAGGTAGCTGTGCCTTGCCATTTTGCCTGTGGACACCTGCCCTGTCTCTTATGTAATATCCACCCATGCTCTGTCCTGAGCCAGAGGCAGAGGTGCCTGGGACCGGCACCATGAGCTAAGGGGCGGAACTCGGTCGGCGGAATTCTGGCGAAAAGTCACCTTGCCATCTTTATTATGGGCACTGCCCCTTTCTCCCCTCCCAACCACAGCCAGTTTAGGTGTGTCATGCGCAGGAGGGGATTATGCTGGTGTCACTGGCTGCCGCTACGGCTGCTGGGTGAAGCACTCTGATCGCCTAGCTGCCAGAAAACCCAGGGCTCGGTGATTGAAAATAAAGCTATTGTTGAAGGCTAAGATTATTTTCAGCAAATACAGAAAATGCCTGTTAATCTTGCCAGAGGTGCAGTGTTCTTGTAACGTCCTGTGAGCAGCACCAAATATCTTCCTTTCTAGTTATCTTCTGTACACTACCAATTGCCCTGCCACCCATGTAGTGGAGATGAAGAGATATGGACATGTTTGTAGTCCACACCAGGAGAACAGCCTAAGGTGACAACTTTGGTTCCCTCAGAGGATACAGTGGAGGAATGACGTAGCCACTCAAGGACAGGATGTGTGTTATTTGCAGGATCACCAGGTGAAGCTTTAAAAATAGAAAATGAATGCAGCTACCACACCAAAGACTACTTTTTGTCCTGGTGGCTTATTTTGAGCTACTTAAGGTGGATTTTCCATTACTGCTGAACTCACCTGTTGCCGGGTGTAAGTTTAGCCTGTGAGCAGTTCCTACCATCGAATAGGGTCCACTGAGAGGTCTGGAGTACTTCCCCTGAATATACCAAGCGTCGTCAGAGTGCCGCATCCATACCAGGTTCCAGATGACCACTAGTGTCCCTTATACTACATGCTTAAAATCATTTTACGTCTGGTGAGTGCAAGCACACTCCTTTTTTTCTCATCACGGAAGTCACGTGCACCTTATGATTATGCAATGGAGGTTTAAAGTGAATGTTCGATATCTTCCGTATTTGGGAAAATTGCCACACCTTTGAAATAATTTATGGACTTTCATGTTCTTATAAATCACTACATACGATAAAATATGTTGATTTGATGCTGTTGTCACTTTATGAATATCTATTGTCTTCATTAAGACATCACTATTTTACCACTTTTTAGCGCATACTTTTGCACATATGTCACTATTATTTCACTTGAATATTTAATATTTTAGTGCTGCATTTTTTTTATTATGGTTCTGTATGCCCAGTTTCAGACTGGAGTTACAAAGGGAACTACTGTCCACATGGAACAGGTTTGGTGCTTCCTCGGACAATTGGATTTCTCTGGAGTGGTTGACAAGGGTCTCTTTCCACTGGTGCTTGTGGTCTCCATCTCTACTGGCTGGGAAGACCTTTGTTCCTATTGCTGGACAGTAGTTGAGACGAATGCCAACTAGTCAGGTTGGAAGGGTAGTCCTTGGGCTCGAGGTTGGCCCATGGGCTCTGAACCCTGCAGGAAGCTTGACTACCGCTTGATGCTCTGTGGCTTTGAGCGATTGGGTTGACCCTGGTCCAATGGATAAATATGCTCAGGGAAGCTTCTCAGGAGCCAAAGAGATAATACCACTGTAGTGGCTTCTGCCAATCAACACGGCAGTGCAGGAAGCACAGCATCGGTGCTGGTGGCCTCTCTCATCCTATACGTTTGGAAATCTTAGTCATTCTGATGGCCCTAGACTAGTTTTGTCACACGGGGTACACTAACGTGGTGTGGTTGGTGGAAGACACTCCCTGGCAGCTGCCTCTTCAGGAGGTCTTCCAGCCTGCATTACAGTTGCTGGCATTAATAGCTTGGTTATTGAGCACCAGGTTCTGAAAGACAGGAGTTTGTCTTGTGTGGTGGTTCCAACTATGTTAAAGGCTCGTGAGTCTCCCTCTCGGATAATTATCATTGCACCTGGATAGTCGATCTCATTCGATGCGAAGGCTTGGGGTTCCATCTCTGCTCCCTCTAGATGACTCGGCTGTTTGCCTTCCTCCTCCGTAGCATTGATCAGATGCTTGCTCAGAGTACTTTTGAGGGTCAGGTCTCTGCTCTGGCTGTTTTCTTTCAAGGGCACTTGGCTACGCAGTCCCTGGTTTGCACCTTTTTATCCAGGGGGTTTGTCACTGGGGACCCCCTGTGAGTTCTCCATTGTCGCCATGGGACTTGAACTTGATGTTGTCGGTTCTTCCTTTTAAGGGCATTTGGGGTATTCCCTTGCTTACGCTTCTTCAGAAATTTGCCTTCCTAGTTGCTATTATTTCTGCTCGGCAGGTGTCGGCATTGGCAGCCTTGTCCTTTTTAGTGTCCTTATTGGATTTTGCATAAGAATCAGGTGGTGCCTCGGCTGTCCCCTTCTTTTCTGCTGAAGGTGGTGTCAAATATTCGATTGACTGAGGACATTGTCCTTCCTTGTGTTCTTGGCTGTCACACCCTGAAGAGGTGGCTGTGCACTTCCTGATGGTGGTTAGCGCGATTCGAGTGTACCTCTATGTGCTGGCTGCCTTTCAGAGGTCTGCTTCTCTTTGTGCTCACAGATGGTCCAAAGGAAGGCATAGCGACCTCTGCTATCACTGTTGCCCATTTTGATCAGCAGGCAGTTTTGTAGATGTACACCATTTTGGGGAGGGAACTTCCCTTTTCCCGTTATAGTGGCTGGTGCTCTCTGGGTGTTTCGACATCTGGTGTCTGGTTCTCAGGTTTGCAAGGCAGCAAACTGGTTTGTCTGTGCACTTGTTTACTGGCTTTAAATTTATTGATGTGTTGGCATCTTCAGATGCTCACTTTGGTTGGACTCTCGGGCACCACTTCAGAAGGGGGTTTGCAGTATTGGCATGTTGACTTGGATTTTTTTAGTTGGTTTGCCTAACCTTAGTTGTGGCACTACTTGAAGACATCCCTATTTGGTCATGAATAATGAAGACAGGCTGTGTCCATCAATGAATGTAAGGGAAAACAGGATTTTTTTTTGTTACTCACTGTAAAATCCCCTTTTCTGAGTTCATTGACTGACACAGCACCCACCCCTTCTGTTGGAGTTTTCTCCTTTGACATTGCTTTTGACTGACTGGAGGCCTAGAGAGGGGTTTTTATGCCCAGATGGGAGAGTCTCCTATTCCTGTAGCTAGGGCTATAAAACCCTATTTGGTCATGAATAATGAAGAGAGGCTGTGTCCGGCAATGAACTCCTAGAAAGTGATTTTACTGTGAAAAAAATCCAGTATTTTTTTTCACTAGTGGATTTGTTGAAGATTTGTGTTTTTGTTTTTTTCTTGGGCACATCATCACTTCACCCCTATATATTACCTATACCCGATTACTGTTGAAAATGTGTGTTACTCAACCGGGTGTTTATTTTGCTTTTAAAATATATTTTTTTTCGTTATTTTTATTTAAATTTTTTGTTCTACATGTTACTTGGCATTTCATGTTATTTTGGACATTATTTAGATTATTTATTATTTACATTGATTTTTCTGGTTTTTGCATTTTCTAAGAGGTGCTCAGCCTGGTGTTACTTTTGACCCCTTTCATTATTGACACTGTATTTTTCACACTATATGCTTCTTTATCATCATTATTGTTTATTAATTATAATTTTTCACTTATCTTCAGCACTCTTATGTGAGGTCCCAGCTGTGTTTTTACTTTTCATGTTGGTTTGATATTCACTTAGAGTAGCATCATTTTTTAATTTATTTGTTTGGTTTGTGGGGACACTATTAGATGCTTGCTGCAACTTGCATTTGCAAGTCAGGTAGTGGCAGCGCATGTGGATGTTTTCATTTAAAAAATGAAGTCTGCAATTGTTGAGCTTTCCTATTGAAAATTATAGTTTTCTATCTGTCATGCTAACTCTCTGGCTTCAGTTATTTTTATTACTGATCTAGAACAAGTGTACAGCTAAGGACTGATGACTTTCTCCCCTTTTTTGGATCAACATGCCCATTTTTGGGTTAGTGACTCAAAAGCTTTAAACCCAGAGTGTCCCCATGATGACCAAGCAACTGACATGTTTGAAAGCTGGTCACTGTATTTTACCCCATGACAGGTTTACCTTATTTTAACCTGGATGTCTGTTACCATTGTGCAAATTGATGCCTCCCCAATTTATAACAGCATAACCTATGTTGTGTGATATTCACAAAATATCAATCTGTGACCTTTGGTCCAAAGTGTACTGTGGCTTTGTCAGTGCTTTACATTTTACCGTAACTTTTCTGCTGTTATGCTTCCTCAGGTCCAGACCTGGAATTCAGCATGCACGATGGTACAATCAGAGACTTGGCATTCATGGAAGGTCCAGAGAGTGGAGGTGCCATTCTGATCAGTGCAGGAGCTGGAGACTGTAATATCTACACCACAGACTGCCAGCGGGGACAAGGACTGCATGCATTAAGTGGACATACAGGTATACATGATGAAAAGGACGTAATTTTTAATAAACTATTTACTTATTCTGAACACTAGCCAGAAGGGTATTTGTACATTTTCTGCAGACAAAAATTGGTTTAGAAATTATTCACTGATATGCAGGAGACATGACTGTATTATATTATTGGATGCCCCACATACAGATTTCATTAAAAACTATTAAACATTAACGTACCTTCCTATGTTCAACATGCTTTGTCAATAAATTTCCTTTAAACTAGCTGTTTTTGTTTCAGGGCATATTCTAGCACTTTATACTTGGAGTGGGTGGATGATTGCCTCAGGATCCCAGGACAAAACTGTGCGATTCTGGGATTTGCGTGTGCCAAGTTGTGTCCGAGTAATTGGAACTACATTCCATGGAACAGGTACAATATTTTTTTTAAGTTTAGTTTTTGACAGAGTGGGGAAGAGTTAGAGTTAATGCCAAGTTTCCTTTCTGTCTGTGACCCCACTGTGAAAAATTTCCCCTGCTTTCTGTTCCTTTGACACCCATACGAAAGTTCGTGAGTGTGATTTTTTTTTTTTTTTTTTCACTGAGACAAGCACAGGCAGTAATGAAACTGTTGTCAGAAGTTTACCCTTTGCTTACTCTACTAAAAATGTGTTTTTGTCTGTCTCCCTGTTGGAGTTATTTCCACTCACTTCCTGTATTGGCAGGGAGTAAAAGGAAATCTCTCCATTAGGACAGACAACAGTAAAACCCTGACAGAGGTTCTAACCGTTCTCTTCTCTGTAACCAAAATAAAATAAAAAGTTTGGATTTAAGGATGGGCTTTAAAGAAAATTTTCCAGTTTCCCAATAAGCCAAACTGAAAGTAGATCCTCTACAGCAGGGGTTGGCAACCTATCGATTGAGATCAACCTTTCGACCGCTGGTAGGTGACCGGTAGATCGCGATCAAGTCCCTGTCCTGCCGGCAGGCAAGTGCTCCTCCCCCGTATCCCTGATTAGCAAATAGCACTGAGAATTCATGAACTCAGAGGTCTTGTCGTCTGAGCTCTCCAAGAAGCATAGGCAGTGGCATTCCCCACCCCACAGCACGCCCCTTTAATGTGTGGCTGCAGGGCAGGGAATGCCTCTGCCGCCTAGCATGCTGATCTCCTCTCCAGTTCATTCACGTGGGTGACGTGCCAAGAAAGTCTGGTGGGATCAGTGCACCAGAGCAGGTACCTGTGCCACAGCAGCTTTCTTGTGCAGTTCTGCATCAGGAAAACACTTGTACCCTCCTGACCCCTCTGTGTTGCCTCCTGACCACCAGTACCGTGCCCTTCAGACCGACCCCTCTACCCCCAGTAACGTCCCCTTCCCCAGTACCGTGCCCTCCTGACCCCCCATGACTGTGCCTTAAACCCCAGTACTGTGCCCTCGTGACGATCCAGTATCATGCTCTACTGACCCCCCCCCAGTACTGTGCCCTTTTGAGGATCCAGTACCATGCCCTCCTGACCCTCCAGTAGTGTGCTCTCCAGATCTCCTAGCCCTCCTGACCCCCCTCCCAGTGCCATACCCTCCAGATCCCCGTACTGTGACCTTACACTGTCTTGCTAACCCCCTATCCTTTGCCCTGTCCTGCTCACCCCTCTCAATCTGCTCTATTGATCTCTGTACACTGCTCTTCATGCTACTGACCTCTGTACACTGCTTTACATATTACTCACCCCTGTACACTGCCCTTGCTTACTACTGACCTTTGTACACTGCCCTTACCCACTACTGACTTCTGTACACTGCCCTACCCACTACCGACCTCTGGGGGCTTGCTAGTTAACGGGAAAAAAAAGGCCTCATCACCTTAGTGATTTTTACTATCTTCGATGTTGTCATGGTAGATCTCCAGCTCTCAAAGGTTGCCTACCCCTACTCTACAGTGTCTGTAAATAGCGTGTGATATTTCCTAAACAACCCTTCTAATCCTGATAATACACAGTTTCATATGAATGGGATGTTACAAATAATCCAGCTATGTAGTATGTTTCTACGTAGCCCATACAACATGTTGTTTCTGTGCACTTTAATGCTTTTTAGAAATGTATTGATCAAATCAACTTTGGCTGTTGATAGAAGGGTGAATGGATTTTCTGGAGATGTTTCTGTCATTGATCTAGCCAACTATGTATTGAATTAGTGGTCATGTCTTCTTTGACAGGGAGTGCGGTGGCATCTGTGGCTGTAGACCCTAGTGGAAGGCTGCTTGCCACAGGACAAGAGGACTCAAGTTGTATGCTGTATGATATTAGAGGAGGCCGTATGGTGCAGAGTTATCATCCTCATTCCAGTGATGTTCGCTCTGTTCGCTTCTCCCCTGGAGCTCACTACTTGCTTACTGGTTCTTATGATATGAAAATTAAGGTGACAGATTTACAAGGTAGGTTTGAGACTCTTTTTATTGTAATTTTTTTTTTATTGCAGCAGTAGATGCTATGTGATCAGCTGCCTATTTGTTCAGTAATAATGTAAGTTCGATGTGCACATTTAATGATGAATAAACACAATAGTAGACATTCTGTACATAACACAACCTGAACCATCCTGGAAAAAAATGATTCCGAGCATGAAACTGCCATTAACCAGTTCCCAACGGCGCTATAGCTGAAGGACGGCTACAGCGCGGTTGTCTGGTTCTGAACGACGTCCATGGACGTCATTCCAGAACACGCCCCCTGTGAACCCCCAGCAGCACGGTCCAATGACACAGCAGATCACCAGTAAATGCACTTGCTGGTTATCGGCTGCACTTTCCTCACGCTGTCACAGCGTGAGGAAAGTACTGCCGGGAAGCGGCAATTGTCAGCGAAGGGATCGGTACTGATGGTCAGTGCCCAGCAGTGCTGCCCACTTGTGCCACCCATCTGTGCCCAGCAGTGCCTCCCCTCAGTGCTGCCCATCAGTGCAGCATCATCAGTGCTGCCTATCTGTACTACCTCATCAGTGCTGCCTATCGGTGCAGCCTCATCAACGCACATCAGTGAACGAGAAAAATTACCTGTTTGCTAAATTTTATAATAGAAACAAACATTTTTTTATGCAAATATTTTGCTCTTTTTTTGTTTATAGCGCAAAAAATAAAACGCCCAGCGGCAATTAAATACCACCAAAAGAAAGCTCTTTTGTGTGAAAAAAATGATAAAATTTCATATTTATACAGTGTCGCATGACCGCACAATTGTCATTCAAAGTACGATAGCGCTGAAAGTTTAAAATTGGCTTCGGCAGGAAGGGGGTATAAGTGCCCAGTAGCAAAGTGGTTAAAGGGAGAGCCAGGGCTTTTTTTTGCACACACGTAAAAAATAATATTGGGCCTGTAGATTAGATAACCCCCACCAACACTATGTGTTTTCCAGAAGCAGACACCATGAAGAATAAATTAGTGGGAGTTCAAATTTTTTTTGTCTCATGATATTTGCACAACAGTTTATTAAGTGCAAATCTTCTGTAAAAATTACACTAAAGTGCATTCAATCCAATTTTTTGCTAAAATACGCAAGATGGGGTTGCGCTGAGTAAATTGATACCCAATGTGTCAAGCTTTAAAATTGCTTGTACCCACAAAGCTAATTTCAGTACCCATATATTTCATAGGTGACACTATAAAAGCCCTTACAGGTCATCACTTTAGAGCAAACTGTGAATATTGACCCCAAAATGTTTGCTCTCACTCCAGTGTACGTGACAAAATGTAACAAGTAGCACAAAGGAAATTTTCATTCGTAGGTTCTTCCGCCAGGTGTGTTTGTCCTTTTTTGCTGAGCAGGCTGGGATCAAACTTTTTTTGGGGGTGGAGGTTCTAAGTGCTTCGGCGTAAATTTATTTTGACTTTTTTTTTTTTATATATATGTATATTACATGGCGGGGTGGAGGGACACAATTCTAGAGGTCATGAATTCCCACTACATGCTTTCTACAATTTCTTGTGTATCCTGAATAGTATGCGTTTATACATTAGAACTATCAGGAGACTGTTTTAAAGTAGAAGTCCAGGCTAATAGTAACTAAGATTAAACCTGCTCTCCCCCCCCTCTTCTAAATCCTATTCTAACTACCGTGTAAAAGGAAGATGCAGGAAGACTGCAGTCCACAAACGGTCACCATCAAATTTAACTGAACTTGAGCAGTTCTGCAAAGAAGAGTGGGGAAACATTGCAAAGTCTACATGTGCAAAGTTAGTAGAGACATATCCCAACAGACTAAAGGCTGTACTTAAAGCAACAGGTGATTCAACAAAATACTGATAAAATACATCGGCCCCATGCTGCATCTGTCAAAGACCGCTGATTGCTCAGTTATCAGGTCCCTTCTGAGCACAGAGAGATTACTGTCAGTCACTGCTCTGTGCTCTGACCCTCCAACTCTCACTAGAGTGCTAAACTATGGTGGGGGCAGGAGCGACTTGCTCAGGCTGTCAGTGGTGTGGGTGGATTCCGACATTAAATTCGGGATCTCTCCAGAGTCTGGACCGGCTCTGTGAAGTCAACCAACAGCGGAATTTAGCCCGTTGTTGGCTGAAAACAGGCTACAGGAGTGCAGAACAAATTGTACTCCTGTGATCTTCAGGAGAAGTAGGGCCAAAAGAGCTTTGGCCTTACTGCTCCTTTTAGGTCTGCTTGGAAGCTGGAGATATCCTGTATGGACAGTATTCCATTACACAGCTTTGTGTCATTTCACACAGAAATGGTGCTGTTAATCCCAAACTCTGCATCATTCATAAATAGTCAAAAAAGTAAGGGTCCCATCACTGAACTAGTTTAGTCCTACACATGACACAGGCAAACGTGCTGTTTCCGCAGCAGAAATGCCTATCTCTTCCCTCTCAGTTGAAGTCTCTGAGGTCGCTGGAAAGTCCTTTGATTCTTTTCTCCATGATGGTGCTGGGTAAGATGGTAGTTGCCACTGGTGCAGTCCTCTATGCCCAGTTTCACTCCTGGCTTCTTCAACTTAATATCCTGACAGTATGGGAAAAGTGTCCAAAGTCCTTGGATCTGCTATTGCATCTGACTCTCAAGACCAGGTTGGCTGTGAAATGGTGGATTTTTCACCCAGATGCTGAAAAAGTTTTCCTTCCAATGGCTTGAACGGTTTTGACAATGGATGCCAGTTTGTTGATCTAGGGAGTTGTTCTGGAGTACCTCTTGGTTTAGGGCATGTGGTTATCAGAGGAGTGGAACTTGCCAATCCTGTAACTTAGGGCAGTTTGGATAGAGGAGGATGTCATTTCAGTGATTCTGATCTCACCTGAATGGTCAAGAAGAATGTGGTATGGTATTATAAATCTCTTGGCAGAGGAGCCTTGTGCTTGGGGTTTGTGATTGTTGATGTGTTGCCCACCCCTCATGTTCAGTGCTTTAAGATATCTCAAGTAGTCAAGAATATGAAGACACCCTCTGTCCTGTGATGTATGATTGACAAATTAGGATTTTTAGTTTTAAGATAAATCTTTATCTTGTAGCACATCACAATAAACAGTGATCCCTTCCCTTTTTTACCTGAGTGGGAAATCCTGCCTTTTTTTTGTTCGGTGTCTTATTTACCTGACAGAGGCATCATAACCCAAGTTGTCTCCCTGTTTCCTGTGATGTACTCCAAGAAAGGGATTTTGCAGATAAACCACAAATCATAATTTTTTTTTTAGTGATGGTAACCTCAGCTTATCTATTTTACACACTTTCCTCATATGTAGATTTAAATTGACTGGGCTTGTGACAGGTCTACTTTAAGAATAACTTCTGAGATGTCTTTGTTTCTTTCCCTGGTTTACTTTACCTACTTTTTTTGCAGGTGACCTCACGAAGCCTCTTCCAGTCATTGAAGTGGGTGAGCACAAAGACAAAGTGATCCAGTGCCGCTGGCATACACAAGATCTCTCCTTCCTGTCATCTTCAGCTGATCGGACTGTATCCTTGTGGACTTACAATGTTTAGTCATAGACTTCTAAAAGTACCACATGGCTGTCTTCAAAGAGGCTAATGTCACATTTCCTATCTGGTTGCAATGGTTTTGATTTTAATGGTTTAACGCTCAAGCTGCCAGAGAGGTTGGTCTTTCTATGCTTGTACCGAGCAGCAACTCCTAGTACCAGCATGCTTTGAGTGAAAATGAAATGGAGGATGTGCAGAGGTGAAGCATGTTGTCAAAAGCCTCGATAATCTGATGGAAGGGATGTAATGCCGACTTTCTAGCTGTCTCCTCTCTCCATGCAAGCAGTAAAAGGACATGGCTGCGCTGTGGCAGGAAACTGTATTTTTTTTTTTTTTTTTTTTTTTTTTAGTAGAGCAAAATCTCATCCCAAACATTGTCAGTTATTCTATTATCCAGTTAAATAGTTCACTTGTATTGTCTTCTCCCCTCTCTGGCAGCAGAAAAGGTCATATTGATTTGAAACGTGACACATTCAAGATAATGGGACCAGGTGCAACTGTGTGAAATGCGTACAGCTGTGGTGGTGCAGCCTATCAGAGGGTTAAAACAGGTGGTAAAGATGCGACATATCTCCTCTATGCCACCTAACTGCCCTCTCAAAAGTGCTTACTGCAGGGGTGGCAAGGGGTACTCCACTTCTGAACGAGCTCTTTTGTTGAAGTCTGCTACTGACAGTTCTCTGGTTGTTGTGTTGATCCGGGGACTTCAGTACTTACCTAGGACAAATATCCAGGTTAGCAGTTCAAACATTACTCTCATTAATATGAATGCTTGTCCCAGTTCAGTGGCCCTAAAAGTTTTGCAGATATACAGCAAAGCAACTAGCATTTTTAGTAGGTCCTCCTCTATTTCAGGAACAGCAGTTTCCATATTTCTCTCAGAATTTATCATAACAGGTGGCATAGTGTGTTTGCTGATTTGGTGCCACTTACTGTTTGTAAAGAACAACACAGAGATAAGAGGATAACATAAGATTACCTTGTGTGAACATGGCCTGTGATGAACCAGATAATCTTTCCTGAGAGTAGTATGTAGGCTGACATTGCTGGCCATTTGTTCCAAAATGCTAGTTGCCTGGCTGCCATGCTGTCTAATGGCTTCATACTATTCAAAGTCACTAATTCCATAGTATGCAGATTAATATTTTTAATTTTCACACTGACTTTCCTTGCTGTATGCTTGTCCCAAGCCAATGACTAGAAGTATTAAAGTCAGGGACAGCAAGACAATTGCATTTCTAGGAAGGTCAGCAATGGCAGCCTCCATGTTTTTTTTGGCGTACAGGTTTCTTTTTAGGGCCCATATACAATATTGTGTTTCGGAAATGTGCAGTAAAGAAAAGTGTTACTGCAAATCACTGTAACAAACAAAATACCATGCTTTGTGGTGCCATTCATTTTGAACACCATCCTAATCAATGCAGCACAATACACTTGTACATGAGTGCACTGCACTATTGAGATCAGAACTGTCTTTTTGTTGTGGGTGCTGCATTGTAAATAATGCTGCATGTTTATTTCAAATTGGTACATTGATAGCCTGTGAATGGGCTGCCTTTATGCATCGCATGTTAACACAGAAAAATACCTTGTGTTAATTTAAGGGTAACATACCACAGTTCACTGCAACAGTTTGCATGGGCCCATAAGGTTTGGGATTTTAGCCATTGGAAATCGAGTTGTAATAGATATTATGGTAGTCATTTGTTATGATTTGATGCTAAATTATTTTTTCCAACAAACCAAAATACTTTCCTTCAGGCTTAGTAAAGGCTGGCACCCCACCATAAGTTTATAATAATATAATACAACAAAGGAAGGATGGTGAGCTGTTTCCTACCTAGTCAGTAATGTCCACAGTTATATATAGACATCTGTGCCCCATCAGGGGAATCTATTGATCATCAGTGACAGATGATAATCATCCTCTGTATATCAAAACCTGCACTTTGTGCCATTTAAAGATAAGTAAGCGGAGTACATTGTATGAAAATACTATACAGAACATGTTCAGAAACTTGTTATGATTGAAAATATCTAAGACAAAAGTTGAATATTGAAGGGCTCTAAAATGGCTTCTCCCCATCCTGACATCACTAATAATTGGCTGCACTGACCTACACATAACACGTGTGCATGAAAAAAAATCACACATTCTGTACAGGTATAGGAGATCCTAGGTAAATTTATGAATTTTATTGTTGCTTCTTTATGTGAGGCAACTTATGTTTAAGATGTAGTGGCCCTTTAAAGGAGAATAGATCTTCTATTTTTGTTAAATGTACTAAGCACTCACACATGAATTGCTGGATTTTGCTTTCTTTTTTTATACTTCTAAACATACCAAAGTTTAAAAGTTAAAGTATTCCTGTCACCAGCCTTGATAAGTCAGTTTGAGCTCACGTGAAAAAAAATGCATATGTGAAGATCAGCCATCAAAATAATAAGTAGATCCGATCATACAGGCAGCTGAACTTATATTTTTCCTATAAAGACTGAGCTTGTACCCTCGGCACCACCCATCCCAAGCCTTCCTTTTGGTCGGTAAGACCACATGTCTTGTTAAAAGACCAGTAAGGTTGGGGTTGAGGCTAAGCTCAGCTTTTACAGGAGATGTTGATCTGTACATATAAATTCAGCTACATATATATTTGGATCTGTGGACCATTTGCAGGCAATTTCTACTAAAAGAAACCTCTGCTCCTGCAATTTTCTAATTCTATGCTCTTTTTGAATTGTTTAGGTTGTGACAGGTTGACTTTAAGTAAATTCTGCCCTGATCTTCAGCTGGTCCCATTTAATGATGAGCCAATCCACAAAGAGCAATCAATTTTCATTATGAATGTGTTATGCTGTATGCTTGCAGATGGGTAGTGTTATCATAAGTACAAGTGACATTCATGGTGTTAAACAATATGGCAATCATGAGTTAATATGGAAGATTAATTTTACTGGAAATTCTGACCTAAAACCAGAATTATATATTTTTTTTTTTTATTACCATGGTGTTAATATTACATAGTTCTTCTAAATTCTTCAATTTTAATACACTGGATCCAGATCTATAGCTTTGCTATCAGTGTCTGCTTACAGGTCCTTCTAAGCTAGTAGCAGTAAATCGCCATAACAATAATGTACAAATAACATCCTGCCAGGCAAATCAAGATGCTCAGTGCTAATATACAGTATGCTTCATTTTATCGTGGGTGAAATGCTGCTAGATTATTCAGTGTTTATATTGTTGTTTTACTGGTTTTGTTTTTTAAACATAGAAATATATGCAACACAAACCAGATTGCTCTGCACTCCATCTGCTTGCTAAATGGCCAGTAATATATTAAAAGGCAGTGATGGGGTTAAATGTCACTGTCTTCATGATTACACGTATAACCCTTTGGGTGCCAGAGCGAATTCTATCTATTACAGCATGGCACATTAGCATGGAACACTTTATTTCATTTTCAGAGCAAAAACCAGCTTACTTGGATATTAAAGTCTTGCACTTTGTGTTGTGTTAACGGTCTTTTTCTACCATTCCAGGACTACTTGTGTATGGTAGAAAAAAGTATCTAAAAGTTGTATTCACTAATGTAAATGCTAATATTTCTAGACTATTCTGTTCATACTGTATATTTTTATTTTTGTTAAATTAAATAAATCCTAAATTACATTTAGGAATGTTTTATTTATTTGATATGAAGTGAAAATATTGTTTCTGTTCTTTTAACATACTAAATACTCTGTGCACTGTATGCAGATATTTTTTACCTATTGTTCCATGTGGAAATGTTACTTTGAAATTGTAATTGTGCTGCAGTATGAATAAAGACGTTAAAGGTTCATTATTTCAGCTTATAAAAATGAACGAGTTTTGTAAAAGCGTGACAATTTTTTTTAATGTAACATTACACATTGTAAGTTGTTTTGTCTGCTCAGGGGACTTGTGTATCATTTTCGCATTGGGATCGAAACTTTCACAGTTATAAAAACTAAAAGTCCACATAAACACAACTTTTTATTTTTTTTCATAAGATCCATATGTACATCAAGCTTCTACAAGACATATTAAAGCAGTTTTGTTAAAACTTTTGACTAACAAGAATTTGTCATGGCAATCTGCAGCTTCTGTACTTTAATGCAGAAGTGATCTGATTTCTGCAGCATGCAGACATAGTGGTTCCCTGGAACACTCTTGGTTCCTGTGGCTTAGCTGTGTCTCCTGTGAGCATGGGATCACTGGAAGCACTTTTAGAATGGTGAGTGGGTAAGAAACTGTGGATCCCCAGTCTCCCTGTACAGTGAACCTGGAGGTTCTCACCTCTAAAAACTTCTGGATTCAGGCCTGGAAGACCATGCTTATGTGAATAAGATGGTAGGAGACTGGAGATTCCTTTTGTCTTGAGGACAATGCAGGGGAGGCATCCTTGGTCTGATCAGCCCCCTTGCGCCCCCCCCCCCCCCCCCCCCCTGGATGGAGGTTCTCAACCTCTAAAAACTTCAGCAAACAAGGGAAGCGAAACCTTTAAAAAAAAATTTTTTCAAATTACCCCCCCTTTTCCCCCCCGTGCACACCTGGGATGCATATGTGCACGCCAACAATCACACTTTAACTTAGGAAGAACAGTATCGGGAGCATGATCATATATGGGGGTGCAGGGGAGTCTAAGCCTGCAGCAGACTCCCAAAAAAATAATTTTATTGGTGGGTACAAAATGCCTATATCATAATTGTACAGTACAGGAAACAGACTGGGTATTTATACACCCTGAGTTATAGGCTTGTATCTTCAGGTGATTGGACCCTGGCAAACCTTTTGAGAATACATCCCCCGGGTGCCCCACCTATAATCCTACCCTACTCTTAGTTCTCAGTTTTTGCTGCTGTCCTAAGATGACAGACCTCCTCTCGCTTACAGTCGAATCACTCTTAGCTTAACTAGCTTCCTATTCTATCTTCAGATTCTTTAACCACCTCAATACTGGGCACTTTTACCCCTTCCTGCC